AGCGAACCGCAGCTTTTCGCAAGTCGGAGGCCCTGTTTGTGTCTTTCCAGCCCTCTTCCATGGGTATGAAGGTATCGTCTTCTACCATTAGAAAATGGATCAGGGCTTGTATTGCTCACACCTATAGATCCCAATCTCTCCCAGTGCCTACGAATGTCACTGCTCATTCTACGCGCAGTGCGGCCACATCGGCAGCCTGGTCTACCCAGGCTTCTGTTGAGGATATCTGTAGGGCAGCGACCTGGTCATCTCCCTCTTCGTTTATAAGGCATTACAAACTTGATAGGTTCACTGTGGCGGAAGCCTCTTTTGGTAGAAGGGTTTTGCAGCAGGTAGTTTCCTCACAGGGGACACATGCCTAGACTTTCCCTCCCCGTAGGGACATGGGTGGTTTTGGTATGTCCCACCGGTGGATGCTACATTCATCGTGCTGGAGAAGGGGCATTGTCTTACCTGAACGCCTTTTCTCAGCATGATGATGTAGCATCCACACCCGCCCTTAACAGGCAGTCTAGGCAGGTATTTGTTACAGGAGGAGCCATTGCATCAGACTTTGTCATGGGAGCTTCACCTCGTCAAAACTGGGGAAGGCATCGCCCAAAGGAGGCGTGGCTAAAGTTCTGACTTAGTCTTGTCTGAGCAGGAAGGCTGAGATTATCCATCAGTGGATGCTACATCATCATGCTGAGAAAAGGCGTTCAGGTAAGAGAACGCCCCTTCTAATCCTGCCTTAGGTATGAAAGCTGGCTGGGTGACTTTGGACTAATCATCAGGAGGCAGTGAGTTCTAGTCTATCTTTAGGTATAAAAGATGGCTGGGTGACCTTGGGCTAATCCCTTTCTCTCAGCCCAACCCACCACACAGGACTGGTGTGGGGAAAATAGAAGGAAGGTGTATCAGGTCTGTTTGCCGTCTTGAATAATTTACAAAATAATAAAAGTGAGATAAAAATCTAATTAATAATGAATACTGGGCTAGTGGCCTCCCTACTCATAACTCGATTTAATGCTATATCTTTGTAGGAGAAGCTGAAAAAATGATGCTGAGAGAGGTTTATAATAGTCAAAATTAATATTTTGTTTTTGAGGTGTTTTGTAAATGCCTTGCTTCCGGCATGTACTCACCAAAACATTTGGCAGCGCTTAGCAGAAGCTCTGTATGTGTGATAGATTTTTCGCTCTTTGCTGTGTCTCTTGGGAAGCTGAGGTGATATTCTTAACAGTACCGAGAAACAAAATGAAGTATGTTTTGCAGCCTTTCCCCTGCAGTTCTGGAACAGGCCTTTCCTTCTTGTTCTGCTGCACAGTGACTGGAATTTCTCTCTCCCTTAATAGCTCACGTGACTTTGCCACTAAATGTCTATGGAAATTCTCAGTCATCCAGGTTGTGGTTGTCCCAAAGATGCTTTTTCATGAAGCAACTGGACTTTCTTGTTTTTATTTGCAGACATTTCGCTTCTCCTCCAAGAAGCTTCTTCAGCTCTGATTGGGTGGTGGGAAAGATTTACATTCCTGCAGACAGCTGTTTATTTGCATTCTTTTAGTGAGTCATTAAATCTACCTGGTATATCCAGTACAATGCAATGAGCCATGAGCAGATCTGTACCTTGAGGAAACAAAACAACCACTTCATAAACACATGGCACAACGCAGGAGAATAAACCCATCAGGAAAAGATTCAGCAATCCATCTGCATTTAAAAAGCAAAGGCACTTTTTTGAAGACAGCAAAGTTCACAATTTGGACAGAGAAGAAAGAGGGCCATCTAGGTCAAAATTGAACCGCCTTCTGTCAACAGAGGGGGAGGGAATCTGACATCCTCTGTCTCCAGTTTACAACACAGTCTGTTCAGCGGTTCCAAGAAGACTCCAAACCCATTTGCACTACTCAGGTGATCATGAAGACACAGATAACCTCCAGGTAGATTTAATGACTCGCTAAAACAGTGGTTCTTAACCTGTGGGTCGGGACCCCATTTGGGGTCAAATGACCATTTCACGGGGGTTGCCAAACAATGCAGTCCGCCATTTCCCCCCCTTTTCCTTAGCTACTCCCTTTTATTCTGTTGGCTTTTGAAAGCCAATAGAATAGACTCTCTTGAATAGAGTCTAATTCTATTGGCTTTCAAAAGCCAATAGGAATTGTCCAGGCTGTCTCTGCCCTGCTGAGCCCGCCAAAAGTCCCATTCTGCAAACGGTGCTGCACCAGTTGAGTAGTCCTCAACTTATGACTGGTTGAGTAGTCCTCGACTTACGACCGGTTGGGGGATCGTGGCATTAAAAAGGTTGAGAACCACTGGGCTAAAAGAATACAAATGAACAGCTCTCTTCAAGGAGTATAAATCTTTCCATTCCCCACCATCCAGTCAGAGCTGAAGAAGCTTCTTGGATGAGAAGCAAAACATTTTCAAAGAAAACAAGAAAGTCCAGTTGCCTCGTGAGAAAGCATCTTTGGGATGACTTTGCCACTTACTCTCCCTTCTAGCACTTTTGTTTAATATATTTAATAATATAATGTTATGTTCTGTTTTCTGTTGCTGCATAAGCAAATCAGGCAAGGAAGAACAGAGACATAGGTGGCCTTTGTTGTGCCTTCCCATTGGCCTGCAGGAGGGAGTGTTGGCCAGGACTGTGAACAATCAAAACATAGAAGTGGAAATACACATTTAAAAATGCTGAAGAAGGTTTGAAGTATGAGGTATATGACTGTAATGCCCTAAATATATGAACTAAAATAATCTGAGGTAAGCTTTATGCTCTTCAGTGCTTCCATCTTCACCCAGCGACATCTTAGCATTAATAGAGGGATAAACTCAAGATCACATGAATTTCCACTACCCCTTTACAAGGCCTTGGTAAGTCCACACTTGGAATATTGCATCCAGTTCTGGTCACTACAATATAAAAAAGACTCTTGAGACTTTGGACAGAATGCATAGAAGAGCAACAAAAATGATTAGGAGACTGGAGATTAAATCATATGAAGAATGGTTGCAGGAATTAGGTATATCTAGTCTAATGAAAACAAGAATAGAGAGATATCATATAAGTTTTCCAAATTCTGAGGGACTGCCACAAAGACGAGGCGGTCAAACTGTTCTCCAAAGGGCAGGACAAGAAACAACAGATGAAACTAATCAAGGAGTGAACCAACCTAGAACTAAGGAGAAAATTGATAACGATTAGAGCAATCAACCAAGCTTCTCTTCAGATGTTGTAGTTGCTCCATCACTAGAGACTTTCCAGAAGAGATTGAACAGCCACTTCTGGACTAGTATATTGGGTCTTCTGTGTGAGGAGGGGGTTGTACTAGAAGACCTCCAAAGTCCCTTCCAAATCTATTATTCTATGTTCTATATTCTAAAACATATCCCCAATAAATAATATGGATGAAATGGTGCTCTCTCTTTATATAGTACTTACAGAAGAAGTTCAGATTGTTGTCCTTAAGACTGTAAGTATTCTACTGAATCTGGTTATGGCCCATCTTAGTCCAACATTGAGCATTTTGAGGGTGGCAGGTTCTAAATCAAATAAATGTTTATTACAATGGCCAACCAGAAGCCTCTGAGGTATTCATAAGCAGGACCTGGAGACCTACCCTTATTCTCCTGCAACTGGGTGTTTGGAGTCACGCTGTCCCCAACTGGTTAATACAGGTAGTCCTCAACTTACAACCACAACTGAGCCCCAAATTTCTGTTTTTAATGAAGACAAGTGACTTTCGCTCCATTTTACAACCTTTCCTGACTACAGTTTTTAAGTGAATCAATGTAGTTGTTAAGTCAAGAACATGATTGTGAAGTGAAACTGGCTTTCCCATTGACTTTGCTTGTCAGAAGGTCGCAAAAGATGATCACCTGAATCCAGAACACTACAGCCATCATAAATATGAACCAGTTGCCAAGCACCTGAGTTTTGATCACATGACCACGGGGATGGTGCAACAGTCATAAGTATGAAAAATGTCCATAAGTCCCTTTTTTCAATGCCATTGTAACTTTGAACAGTCACCAAATGAACTGTTGTAAGTCAAGGACTACCTGTACTTGAGTCTTCAAGGCCAAGAGACCTTGATAGACCTGTTCTCTTTTAAAGCCAACCAAATTAATTACCATTATACACCTTATCTTGGGTATTGAATTTCACAGGTTAATTATCCATCTTCTTTGTCGTGACTTGTTTACAAAGTCTTCAATCACTTTCCTTCCAACTAGAAGTCAACCTTGGAGCATTCTGCTTCCATTTACTTGTTTATTATTTATAATCCACCCTTAATAAGTAACTCAAGTGTGTGAATATATCCAACATACCTTCCTCTTCCTTCCCCCCCCACAACAACAATCCTGTGAGGTAGATTGGTTGAGAGAGGGGGACTGGCCCCAAGTCATTCAGCTAGTTATCATTCTTAAGCCAGGACTAAAACTCAAAGTCCCCTTCAAATTGACCCAAAGTCACCCAACTTGTTTTCATGCCTAAGGTAGGACTAGAATTCACTGTCTCCCAGTTTCTAGCTTGGTGTTTTAATCAATAGACCAAGGCTCTCTAAACTATACAGTACAACAAAGAGCTACAATTTTTCCTCTCATTTAATAGAAGCATTTGCAGCTTTTCTGCCCTGAGTATTTTCATACGTTCACCCAGTCCAACCTTGTCTGGGTGGACTAACATCAGCTGCCAAAGTTATTCCCAGATTCTGCTACCAAAGCAATTGCAGTGAGGACCTTTGGAAATTAGCCCTTGTGGTCTTTGTGATCCAAATTCACACATTTCAGTAGCCGATAGGATGGTGCTGACAGGACTGTACATATAACTGGAAAACATCTGCCTATCTCAGGATCCTTGGGAAGGACATAATAGGTGGATAAACATGCCAAATCTAATCTAATCATTTGATGGACTTTGCAACCTGCCATAATGATTTATTAAATTTCTATGTTATTCAACTCATAGCAACTCTGCCAAACTATCATATTACAATATTAGGTGTATCTTTATGCAGATATCAAGAATTTGGCAGCATTTCAGCTCTCCGAATTTTCAGGATACTGAGAACTTTAAAGGCAGTTTCTGTAATTCCAGGTAAGTAGCACTTTTTATTGCTTATATTCAAAATTTAGAAACTGCCTGTCTGTTAAGGATTTAAATACTGCGTTACAGGAACATATATCAAAATAATCACAAAACCTTCTGAAAAAATGAACTGGTCCACTTTAACACAGAGCTAACCTGCTGTATTTCTACCAAATTTCTGTTGTTCTGGGAAACCTGGAATTTAACCCTCAATTTCAAATCTTGGCAATGACAATCAAGGAGCCCTTATTATGCTGTGAAAAAAAAAAAAGAGAGCTAACTCAAATCTGAACCTTAGCAAGAAAATTAATATATAGGTAGTCCTCAACTTATAACCATGGTTGGGACTGGAATTCTGGTTGTACATTGTTATGATTGAGGGACCACAAAAGCAAATCTCATGGTTGTAAGTCTAAATCCACTTTCACAAACGGGCATTTTTTGCTTTTAAATAACTGGTTGTAAGTTGAGGACCTGTGCATACTGTGGATGCTATGCTCCAGTTACATTCAGAGATGCCCCTCCCCTTTACCAGTGTTCCCAATATTTTCCCAGTATTACCATAATTCTGAGCTGGACTTCCAAGATGTACAGATCACTTTTCCAAGGCTATTATTTATTTATTATTGTTTTATCAGTAATGCTAATATGCCACTTTTCTTCCATAAGTTAAAGGTAATATCTGATTCTTTTCTATTTCCCATTTTGTTCTCTAATGGTGCTGTGAAGGACATAAAAAAGCGGATACTTTATTTATTTATTTATTGTACACACACACACACACACACACACACAGACATAAATACACACACACACACACACACACAGGTTCTCTATGCAGCTTCGTGAATGAGTAAGGATTTTAGTTTTCTTTACTTATCTACTGTAGTTTTTAATCTCATAGTATAATGCTCTAGAGTGGAATGGGATGGGATCAGATGGGATGGGATAGGATAGAGTAGGGAATGGAATAAAACAGATCAGAACAGAATAGAATGGAACAGAACAGAATAGAATAGGGCAGGGCAGGGCAGGGCAGGGCAGGGAATGGAATAAAATAGCCCAGAATAGAACAGAATAAATAGGATAGGATAAGATAGGATAGGGAATGGAATAGAATAGAATAGAGTAGAGTAGAGTAGAGTAGAGTAGAGTAGAGTAGAGTAGAGTAGAATAGAATAGAATAGAATAGGGCAGGGCAGGGAATGGAATAAAACAGAATGGAATAAAACAGCACAGAATAGAAGAGAATAAATAGGATAGGATAGGATAGGATAGGGAATAGAATAGAATAGAATAGAATAGAATAGAATAGAATAGAATAGAATAGAATAGGGCAGGGCAGGGCAGGGAATGGAATAAAACAGAATGGAATAAAACAGCACAGAATAGAAGAGAATAAATAGGATAGGATAGGATAGGATAGGATAGGATAGAACAGATTTCTTGGACAAATGATAGACATACAAGAAATAAGCTCCCAGTGTACATGCAAAGCAAAGAAATAATAATCATAATATCAAAATAATAATAATCATATTGATATCAATATGAGAAGATAGTGGAACAGATGAGAAAGATAATAGTAATACAGCCATACTACAGGAGTAAATATACCTAGACATAAGACTTAGACTGTGGGAATCAGAGAGATGGCATAAACGGACACACACACAAAAAAGTGTCTTTGTGTCTAACTGCTTTGGCATGCAATGCTCTGTAGAACTGTCATGAGGGAAGAAATTGAAATACTTTATGTCCAGGATGTGGGGTCTGTACATATTTTCTCAACCCTCTTTCTGGTTCGTGCAGTATAGTGGAAGGCAGGCTGGTTGCGATTGTTTTTTCTGCAGCCCTAGTTATCCGTTAAAGTCTGTACCTGTCCTGTTTGGTTGCTGTACAGACAGTTATAGAAATACAAATGACAGACTCAATAATTCCTCTGTAGAATTTTATCAACAGCTCCTATTCTGTTCTGAACTTTCTGAGTTCAGGAATACTCGGGAATAACATTCTTTGTTGTACCCTTTTAATGATATTAGGTGTCCATTTCAAAACCTAGAAGATTATAGGACTCAGAAACATAATAATGTTGATGTTTCCTCTGCTGTAGGCTTGAAAGTCATTATATCTTCCCTTCTTCAGTCAGTGAAAAAACTTGCAAATGTGATGTTGCTGACAGTTTTCTTCTTGGCTGTGTTTGCACTGGTTGGTCTTCAGCTCTTCATGGGTAACTTAAAATATAATTGTGTTTCCTGTTTGGTTCTTTCTGAAAACCTCATCAAGAACAAAAATGATTGTTTATTAAAGGATACAGGTAATGTATAAGTTTCTATCTTTTGGTAAGCTCTGTGTCATACCTGTTTTAAATCATTTATTGTATTAATAACTATATTAACGCCATTTATTTGTGAACCATTTGCAACAAAAAGTGTTGCAAATTAAGAAATGTAAAATTATTAAATCCTAGAACTGTGGTATTGTCAAGGAAATCCTGGGGTTTTTTTTTCTCACTCTTTCTCATTCCTCTACGTACCTTTTTCTTAGGTCATATCTGTGCTCCTGTATGGGATATGGAGAACCCATAATGAAACTTAATCCAATCTTGTACAAATCTTATCATTTGGGAGTTAGAAATAAAATCTTATACTCCTTATTTCTTTTTTTGGATCACATCTATTTTGTTAAGTTTGTTTATCTCCATATCACAGTCCATAAAATTTCCATGAAATGGTGTGTCATGGTTCTAAAAGATGAAACTCTTCAAAGAACTTTGAGGCATTGTTTACCTTAAAGAACCTTTATTCGAACAACATAGTTTTGGCAGGTACATAGTCAAAGCCAAAATCCGACTTCCCCTCCCTTCAGCACATAGATCAAAGCACAATTCCCTCCTACAACTAACAGTCATAAATCACATTCTCCAATTAGTTTGAAATGCTGGCTTTCCGCCCAGTTCTTCATCCTGCCATGCCTTATCATCTTATGTTACAATATTGTATGTCTAACTAACTCCCATCACATTCCTCCTCCTCCCTCAGTATCATCTAATTCTAAGAGTAAAGCATAAGAAAAAAAAAGGCTGCATCTCCATATGTCGTCAAAGCAAGAACATCCAATGTTAGCAGCATTAACATGGTGCTTTGCATAAAATGAAACACAAGTTTTCCTTTTGGTGTAGTTATTTCTGTTTGGGATTAGGGGTTGTTTCAAAGCACTATTTTCCAAACTTTTGCATTATCATGGACCCCCTTTGGGCATTAAAGATAATGAAAATAAGAAGATGGCTCCAATTCAGGGCTTAATTCAGAAGTATTTGTTCTGCCTAACCCTCTAAATCAAAGCAAAGTAAAGAAACATGCCCTGGAATTAGAGAAAGAGGAAGTTCATTTTTCTGGGCAGTGGCATCCATGGAGGAACTAAAAAGTAAGTCAAGATGGAAGCTGCAACCACTCAGTCAAAACACATTGTCTTTTTTGTATGTGTAACAATTTGCACATGTGTATAAAAGGGAGGTCTTAAATCATGTGGTTGGTGAATGCCATCTTGACTTTTAAGCCTCTCCATGCACACCTCTGATTTTCTGGGAGCACTCTCAAGATTGTAAATGTAGTCTCCCCCAATTTAAGAATATTCAGGGTTTTTTTTTGTCATGGAACGCCCAGAACGGAGTTCTGGCACCTTTTTTGGATGGAACCTTGTAGGGTAGGCAAGACGGATTGTATGACGTGTGTGAGTTCCGGCACCTTTTTTTTTTTTTTTTTTTTTACAAAAAAAGCACTGAGAATATTGGAAACTCCTGAAGGAAGCCTTTACAGGTAGTCCTTGACTTATGACCTGTTGCTTAGCAACTTGGAAGTTATGACCAACCTGAAAAAGGGGACTTAGGATCTGGATTTGAAGTTTTGAAAGTCAAGCCTCTTCCATGGTCACATGACTGAATTTAATTTGCTTGGCAGTATGGGTGCAAGGTCATGTTTTACAATGGTTTTGCTGAAGTGACCATGTTGTGCTTCCGGTTTTGGGCAAAACTGCACCTATAGTGAATTGTTTTGTTTAAAACTGTAGCATTTGTTTAACTGTGGATTCACTTAACAAGCATAGTTATTTGCTTAATGACTGCCACAAAAAAGTCTTAAAATAGAGTTGGTTACATGGCCTACCTGTTTTATGACTATTACAACATACAACTGCATTGGGTCAGCTCCAATCATATGTTGTGAATTATCTTTATCTCTGTATTTGTAAAATAAAAGAAATTTTACACATTTACAAGCAGACCTGATAAAACAATTGAACTTTTCACTCATTGGGCATAATTTTTTTTTTACTGATTTCATATAGGAAGTGCCAGAGAAGGCTTAACATAATATGTTCAGGTTTCCTCATGTGTCTTACGTTAACTTAATACACTGCTCCAGATTATGGCATTTTCCTTTCTTTTTTTATAAGGTTTTATTGATTTTTTTTTACATACCTATAATAATTTTTCAACCAACGTGCTATCTGGGTTGAAAAAATGCTAATACATATTTAATTCCTAGTCCTTCATTCTTTCCTCTAGCTATTGATAAAATAAGTCCCAAGTTTGATAATATTCTGTTTCTTCTTTTTCTTTCAATCTCATAGTCAATCTGTCCATCTCTACACATTCCAATATTTCTTTTAATTATTTCTTCCTCGTGGTATTCCTACATTTTTCCAATATTGCACAAACATTATTCTTGCAGCTGTTGTGATGTATAAAATCAAATATAGGCTTTGTTTGTTAATCTTTTCTGGCATTATACCTAGTAAGAAGAGTTCAAGTTTAAAATCTAGATGTTTTCCCAGTATCTTTTCTAACCAAGTATGTATCATTTTCCAATAGCTCTTTGCTTTATCACATTATTGCATTTTTCTTATGAAACACTTCTGGAATTGAGTTTGGGGACATATATGATAAAGTTATCAACCAATAAAATACAGATAAGGAGAAGTTATAGCTCCTCTTACCTGCATGTTCCTATTTCATGTAAAAGACTACCAATCTATGATAAATATTTTCCTTTTCTTTTGAGAAGAGCACTTTTCTGAAATACCATCAGATATAGTCTGGTTTTTTTTTCCAGAAATGCTTCCAATTATATTATTTGGAGATTTTCCTCTTATCTTGCCTTTTGTTTTTCTGGCTCCTATTGTTCTTTCTTCTATCTTACCCTATCAACCCAATCCATCCCAGATTTTAAATAAGGATTTTTTTTTAAAGTTAAGCCAGTGCTAATTTGCAGATTAATAAATTATTCTTTATACCGAAGTTATCCAACAGATGGTTTAAGCTATGCATATCAGGATAGGATGATCTTTTAAATAATTCCTTTTTTCTCCACAGAAAAGTATAGGAGCTTTGTAAGTGACTCTTCGAAGCCATTGTTATGTGGATTTAGCCCAGATCCTAAGTACGTACTTTTTCTTCTCAAAACATTTTAACTGTAAAATAGAATTGTTTTCAGAATAATTGAGGCTATAGTAATGGATGAGGGCAAGATTCCATGTAATCTTCCTTCTTTTAAAAGGAGGAATACTCTTAAAATGCTGGGCCTTTTTAACTTTGAGGTAAGGATGAATTGGCTCATTGAGAGTCAGTGTGGCCGTGAGGCCAAAGGAGATCTTCAAGTGCCTGAGAGGCTGTTGGAGAATTGAGAGATCAGCCTGTCTTGGCCTTCCAAAGCTTTTTCTCTTCTCTTCAAGTACAAGAGTATGCTTGCAATTGGGTTCTTAAAGGGCAATCATTTATCCCTTGTTTCAGACAGCAAATTGAACTGGACTAATCCTTGTCTTCTAATGGAGCAGGAAATTTATGTGATTGTGACTATTGAGAGAAAACTTGTCAGCTGCTTTGAAACTCATCAAATTTGGTACTCAATGCATTCTGACATGAACATTTTCTCCCGGTGCTCATTGTTTATTTGGCACTCACACACAAAGTAGAACTTGTCTGTGTCAGCTGCCTTGTGACTCACTATATCAGTGGTGGTGAACCTATGGCATTCATGCCAGAAGCAGCACTCGGAGCCCCTTCTGTAGGCACACATGCCGTCTCCCAGCCTTGCCTCCCCCCGCAACCCCCTCCTCATCAGCAGCCCTCCCAGAGGAGAGTCACCCCTGGGTGCCGCCCGGGCAGAGCAGCGCAGTGAAACACATGGCAGCTAGGCAGCAGATGATGTTGTGGGGCACGGGCGGAGGGCATGCCACCATGGTACTGCAGGGCCGCCAGGGTGATCTGCAGCGGGCTGTGGATGACCCTGAAAGCAGGTAGAGTGAGGGTGGAGCAGGGCGGGGGTGGGCGGGCGGAGCAGGGGCAGGCTGGGGGGCAGGGCGGTTTTTGGGCACTCGGTCTCTAAAAGGTTCGCCATCACTGCACTATATTATTCCTTGTGGAGAAATTTTGTACTCCTCATTTTGGACCTCCCAGAACCAATTAGCAATGAGTACCAAGGAACCACTATATAAGCAGAAGGCAAAGGCTATTTATTTATTTATTTGTATCCCGCTTTTATTATTTTTACAAATAACTTAAGGCAGCAGTATCCAACAGACCTTTCCCAAAACAACAACCCTATGAGGTGGCTTGGGCTGAGAGAATGACTGGCCCAAAGTCACCCAGCTGGCCTTCATGGCTAAGACAGGACTAGAACTCACCATCTCCGTCTTTCTAACTTGGTGCCTTAATCAGTAAACCAAACCTTGTCTATTCTTTAAGTTTAGGGAAGTAAATTTGAAGGAGACACATGCAATGTTCCTGCAAAAGGCTGTAGCATACTGGTGACATCTCACAAAAGAGCTTTACTCTGCCAGAGGTTTAATGCTATAGTAAAACTATGACATATTGTTCTATAAGTCAGCTCATACAAGAAAAAACAGTTTATATCAAAAGCAAACTGGCGTTTGCTTTTTTGGAATAAAAGGATATTGAGTGGGTAAAAAAATGAACATTCAAAATTATCATAGGTTGTCCTCAATTTACAACCAGTCACTTGGTGACACTTGTATTTGTGACAGATTTCCCTAGGCTACTTTCAACTGGATTTGAGGTTCCAATTTTGCTCCTCTCCCCCTTTGGTCACAGGATCGCATTTTGGGCAGTCAGTAACTGGTCCATATTTGCAAGCATTTGCAATGTCCCACAATTACGTGACCATAATATACAATGTTTTTTTCTCAAAACTGGCATTTACTTACAATAAGCAATTGAGTCAGAAGATCATTTAAGTATTACAGTACTCTGATAAAGTGGTGTCTCCCTATGACAGCGATGGCGAACCTTTTAGAGACAGAGTGCCCAAAAATTGGTTCCACCCCTGCTCCACCCCCTGCTCTACCTCTACCCTGCCTGCCGCAGGGTGACTCACTGCCTCCAGGGCTTGCCGCAGATCATCCAGGCAGCCCAGCAGCACCATGGCGGCCACGCCCTCTGCCCATGCCCCGCAGCATCAACTGTGCGTGATGGGGCATGAGGGCACTCTTGTCTACGCTGCCTGGCTGCCATGTCCTTGGCTATGCTGCTCTGCGTGGGCCACACTTGGGGGCGACTCTCCTCCAGGGGGGCTGCTGGTGAGGAGGGGGTCACGGGGGGGAGGAAAGGCTGGGGCAACAGCATGGGTGCCCACAAAGAGGGCTCCGAGTGCCGCCTCTGGCACTCGTGCCATAGGTTCGCCACTACTGCCCTATGAAATGGATGAACCTGGAAAAATAATTTACACTTACTTTTATAGTTAGCATAACAAAGAACTTCAAAGCAAAAGCTGATTGGTTTAGAAATAGTCTTCTCTCCAGGTACAACACCAGCATTAAAGCATCCAATAATATGTGAGCCTAGCAATAGAAAAAAGCATTGTACCCTGAATAAAACTAAAGGAAACATTTGCAAAGGAAAAACATTAAAATGGGTATGGATAATTTACATTCTCAATGCTTCCCAAAGTTGGGCTTGAATATTTTCTTTGATTGTGGATGCTTGAAAACAGCTGAAAATAAAAGGTACTGAATGCTTTCCTGCCAGTTCTGTTTTCTGAAGGGGAGGCTTTTCTTGAAGGTTAAGGCTTATGGCAAATTATTAGCCATACATTTGAAACAGTAAATTTAAAATACAAGAAAATCCATGTCAGTTAACCAGTATTACAAAATGCATGTTTCAAGTATTACAAAGTCCATCAGTCCCAAAGGGCTGGGCCGGCAGGCACAGGCTGCAGTGATTGGCCCGGGCAGACCATGTGGATGCCCAGGGCAAGAAAGGCTGCTTCCAGCCTTTGCAGTGATTGGCCAGCAAGGTATTGTGCAGGGGGGGGGCTATAAAAGGGGGCCGCACCGTTTTAAAACCTGTTCTGTTGGTGTTGCAATAAAGGAGACTGTTGGAACGCTTTGCTTCGTCTCAATGCCTCTTTTCCTGAAACAGAACAAGGCCAATTGAACTTTCTTGTTTTTCTTTGAAGACATTTCACTTCTCACCCAAGAAGCTTCTTTAGCTCTGACTGGACGGTGGGGAATGGAAAGATTTATACTCCTTGCAGAGAGTTAGTCATTTGCATTCTTTGAGAGAGTCGTTGAGGCCACTTGGAGGTTTGTCTATGTCCTCAGAGTCACCTGAGTGGTGCAAATGGGTGTGGAGCCTTCTTGGAAATGTATACATTCTTCCATTCCCCACCATCCAGTCAGAGCTGAAGAAGCTTCTTGGATGAGAAGTAAAATGTCTTCAAAGAAAAACAAGAAAGTCCAGTTGCCTCCTGAAAAAGGGGACAACTGTGATCTCGATAGCAAAAATCCTTTTTTTACATGAAAACTAACACTAGTGTAATGTTTGGTCTATTATTAGTAAAACGGAATGTCCTTTGAACAGCGTTTGTGTGAAGAGTAAAGAGAATCCTGATTTTGGATATACCAGTTTTGATCACTTCGGATGGGCGTTCCTCTCATTATTTCGACTGATGACGCAGGATAGCTGGGAAATTCTCTACAGACAGGTAAGCTTTCCAGATAACTAAAGATAAGAAATGTGCAAAACAGAATGAAGAACACATTATTTCCTGGGATAAAGCATTCGCTTCATATCCTATTTGAATGCTGTGGGTTGCATTAAATTATTGTCTAATATCAACAGTATAAAAATCATTATCCAAATTTAGCTATGTACCACAATTCATTAGTTTGACCGTGAGGCGCAATATGAACTTTACAGCATCAAATTAACAAATTTACTTCTTTGAAATGTTTACAAGAGAGGGACCTCGGAGTCCCAGTGGACAATCACTTAAATATGAGCCAGGCGTGTGCTGCAGCTGCAAAAAAGGCCAACACAGTGCCGGGCTGCATTAACAGAGGGATAGAATCAAGATCAGGTGAAGTATTAATACCACTTTACAACACACTTGGAATACTGCATCCAGTTTTGGTCACCACAATGTAAAAAAGATGCTGAACACTCTAGAAAGAGTACAGAGAAGAGCAACAAAGATGATTAGGGGACTGGAGGCTAAAACATATAAGGACTGGTTGCTGGAATTGGGTATGTCTAGTTTAATGAAGAGAAGGACGAGGGGGGACATGATAGTGTTCCAATATCTCGGGCTACCACAAAGAAGAGGGAATCAAGCTATTTTCCAAAGCACCTGAAGGCAGGACAAGAAGCAACGGGTGGAAACTAACCAAAGAGAGAAGCAACCTAGAACTAAGGAGAAACTTCCTAACATTGAAAATAATTAACCAGTGGAACAACCTGCCTCCAGAAGCGGTGAATGCTCCAACACTGGAAGTTTTTAAGAAGAGAGTGGACAGCCATTTGTCCGAAATGGTATACAGGGTTTCCTGCCTGAGCAGGGGCGTTGTACTAGATGACCTCCATGGTCCCTTCCAACATTATTATTATTATTACTACTACTACTACTACTACTACTACTACTACTACTACTACTACTACTATTATTATTATTATTATTATTATTATTATTATTATTACAATATGTGCCTTGTTGGCTTAATATATTTGTTTTGGAATCTCAAAGAAACCGAGGCTCACTGATTTTGTATTTACAGGTTATCCGAACATCTGGAAAATCCTACAGCATATTTTTTTTCATCGTCATCTTTCTGTGTTCATTCTATCTTTTTAATTTAATCCTGGCTGTTGTCTCGATGGCCTACGAAGAGCAAAATAAAGCAACTCTAGCACAGACAAAAGCAAGGGAGATGTTATTTCAGGAAGCAAAAAAAGTGCTGAGGGAACAAAAGGTTTGTAAATAACATTTAGGACTGCAAATCTCTATACTACTGAAGGAGAATCTATTGCAGACATGAGAATAGGAAGGAAATGCATCATTAATAGCAATTGCCGTGTTCTTGATTAAGAGAATATTCTCCATAGGCTTCTTCGTGTCATATTTTTGGTTATTTTGTATTTTTAAATTTGTTATATTGTTGCTTTGTATTTTCAAGTTTATAAGCTGCTTAAAGTCATCATATGTACATTTACATCTATCTATATCTATATAGATACACACACACATACATGTTTTCTGCATGTGTGTGTGTGTGTGTGTGTGTGTGTGTGTGTGTGTGTGTGTGTATTTCTTTTCTGAGGTTCTCGCGGGTGTTTGTATGTAGGTCTTTGGTTATTTGGGTTTTCTCCCGTGTAAAATTGGAAGTGTCTTGGCGACGTTTCGACGAAGTCCCATTCGTCATCTTCAGGCTGGTGTTTTCAGCTTCTTACTTCTAGAAGCATGAAGCCGAAAACACCAGCCTGAAGATGACGAATGGGACTTTGTCAAAATGTCACCAAGACACTTCCAATTTTACATAGGAGAAAACCCGAATAACCAAAGACCTACATATATATATATATATATATATATATATATATATATATATATATATAGAGAGAGAGAGAGAGAGAGAGAGAGAGAGAGAGAGAGAGAGAGATGGCTGCTAGATTGAAGATTGATTAAAAATATACACACACACATACACTATTCTCTGCTCTCCAGCTGTCCATCTTTTGTCCATGTGTGTGTCTCCACCTCTCTCTCTCTCTCTCTCTCTCTCTCTCTCTCTCTCTCTCTCTCTCTGTGTGCGTGTTTGTGTGGTTGTGTAACTAGTATTGACTTTGTTTACCTCCTAAGATCATCCAAATACTGATATATCTGCTGGGGCATCTGTATGTATTTTTATTTCTTTCATTGCATATCAGCTTTTACAATACCAGTATTCCTTTTTCTTATCACTACTCCTCTTACATGTTTTAGGAACTAGTTTCACACAGTCTCCTTGCATTATCAAATCAACACTTGGAAATACCAAGTGAAGAATCTGAAAATAAAAAAGGGAAAAGAAAATTTAAGAGAAAGAAGAAACACAAAAACACAAAATCCAAAACCTATGGAGAAGATGAAACAATGTTTTATTCACCACCCAATAAAAATCAAAAGGAGCTTGTAAGTTTAATCAGTATAACCTTTATAAACAGAGTTGATAAAGATGTATCAATCTTATTGAAATTTGATGACCAAGGTGAATATAGAAAGTTTTTAAGAAGCTACCAACAAAGTGCTGTATTTTCATTTCATAGATTTAAAAATCGGTAATATATATATTAAAAAAATCTTGAAAAATGCATTATCCAGTTGCACTTCACAATTTTACTTCAACTACAATTTTACTCTCTGTTTCTGGTTTTTAACTTTACAATGTAGAATTGCTTTTTCTAAATGTGTTTCATTATGATTGTGCATTTTTTTTTCATCATCTTCATGATAGGTCAAAAGAGGCAGGATGCTGGTCACAGTATTGTATGTGCAAGTGTGATGTTGAGATGCACCCAACCTGGCAGGATGGAGGGATCCAACATGGAGCTAGACCAGTGATAGTGAAACTTTTAGAGACCGAGTGCCCCAAACTCATCCCCCGCCCCCACTCTGCCTCCCACCCTGCCTGCTCTATCCCTGCCTGCCCCCTGCTCCATCCGCCCACAGGGCCATGCACCGCCTCAATGGCCCGCCATAGCAGATCACCCAGGCAGCCCTGCAGCGTCATGACAGCCACTCCCTGAGCCCACACCCCGCATCATCATCTGCATGCTATGGGGTGTGAGGGCGGAGTCTTGTCCCTGCTGCCCGGCTATGTCCTTGGCTGTGTTGCTCTATGCAGGCTGCACCTGGGGGCAACTCTCCTCCAGGGAGAGGAGGAGGTCAGGGGTCAGGGGGGAGGTTGGGTTGGGGTGACGGCACGCGTGCCCACAGAGAGGGCTCTGAGTGCCGCCTCTGGCACATGTGCCGCCACTGTCCTAGACTTACTGCACACAACCTTAAGAAGGGCCAGGACCAGCCCTCCCTGAATTGTTTGGAGCCTTATCTGATTGTTCCCAAAGGAGAGCTGCCAGAGTGGGGAGATTCCTGTATTATAGACAGAACATAATAAAGTAGCTAGCTGGAACTCTGTATGAATGGGCTTGGTTGTTTCCGCCTGACAGATGGGGCTTCAATCATGATGCTATGACTTCCATCCTGCCTGTTTTGACCCCCACTGTGGACACTACTTTTTTTCCCCTTTCATTTATTTCATCAAAGCAATGAAGTTTCATCAGTGTTGACTACCAAAAAACATTGGCTTTACTTCTGTGTTCTTTCCAATCAGGGCTGTCTATGTTTTGGCTATAGGGGAATTTTGTATCATTACTGAGGGTCTCTGTGTCTGTATAATCAAGTGCTGTTTTTGGGCTGAGCGGATTTGTTTCTGACTCACCTGTGGCAAATTTAGAAAAGGCATCCTTTTTGTACATAATATTGAAAGTATTGCTTTGCAGAATTACAAAGGGGTCAAAAGGAACAGAAGGCTAAGGGGAGACATAAAAACAGTCTTCTAATGCTTGTCACAGGGAAGATGGATTTATTCTCCAGAGCTCTAGAAGGTAGGACAAGAACTAATAGGTGGAAGCTGTACAGAGGAAGATCTAAATTTAAAATAAGGAAGAATTTCCTGACCAGAAGAATTATAGGTAATCGACTTATTACCACAATTGGAATCAAAGCTTCTGTTACTAAGTGATGTGGTTGTTAAATGAGTCACACCCTATTTTATGATCTTTTTTTCCTGTGATTATTAAGCAGATCTTCTCATTAAGTGAATTTGGTTGTCAAGCTCAAAGAAACATCATGCTGCTTCAGCCATTTCTGTTTTTTGCCTACAGACCCAGAGGGTATGGGGGGTGAGAATGGAATGTGCATTTGTAGGTGTGGAGCTGTTAAGCCTGAGAATCAAGGTCATGCAAGATTGTTTATTAAGAGATGAAGGTTTTCTTTCATAACAATTGTCTGAAACTTAATTAGGCAATGTGACTTGCATTGTGTGTGTGTGGGGGGGGGAGTTGTATACTTTTAATATACTGATTTGGTGGTAATTTAGCCAGAGCTGTTTTTCTACTCATCAGTGATGATATAGTATGCTCAATAAAGTTTTGCATTAGAGATTGGAATTTCTTAGCTGTGTTAAGTTCGTTGGGATCATCAGTCGGAACTTTGACATTGGCTTCCACATTGACATTGCTTGTTGGAAGCCCCCTGGTAAGGGTGCAAGTGGCAATCAAGTGACCCCCCCACTGTAAATATGTGCTGATTGCCAAACACCCAAATTTTGATCACATGATCTTGTAGACCCTGGCACAGTAACGAGTGAGAGGATCAGTTGTAAGTGAGGAGCGGTTGTAAGTCACTTTTTTGAGCACTGCCATAACTTTGAATGATCATTAAACAAGTGGTCATAAGTCCAGGACTACCTGTACTGAGCAGTGGAATGTCCTTCCTGGGGTTGTGGGTGTTCTATCACTACTGGTTTTCAAATAAAGATCTGGGATAGTAAGGAGCTGGCCTAGAGACCTCTGAGGTTTCCTTCATGATTTTGTGATTTTTATTTTATTCTTCTCCCTGGATTGTGGGGTTTAGCAATTGTTACTGTCCGAGATTTTATTCCTGCTGAATGCTTATAAGTATCCTAAGCATTTCTCTCTCCATAACTCTGGTCACCAAATATGCTTAAGGGCATTGGGAAAAAAGGACCTGGCAGCAGAACAAATTGGCAAGCTTTTTTTTTTTCCATCTCCATACAGGATTTTTAAATGCAAAGAGGAATGATGGCTTTGCAAGTTCCATTCCTAGCAGTCATTCAATTTTTTTTTTCTTTTAAACGGAGTAGGCTACCAGTGCTAGCAATTTTATTGTCCTTTTGTTTAAAACAGAATTGAGGGGATGTTTGTTGCTTCAAGATCTGCAAAAGATTCTCAAAACAACAGAACAAACTTGGAAGGGAACATGGAGGTCTTCTAGTCCAACCACCTACTCAAGCAAGAGACCCTATACCAGGGGTAGGCAACCTTGGCTCTTTTATGATTGGTAGACTTCAACTCTCAGAATTCCTGAGCCAGCCATGCTGAGGGGAAAAGGAGAGGTTTCCAAGCTGAGCCATGCTGGCTCAGGAATTCTGGGAGTTGAAGTCCATGAGTCATAAAAGAGCCAAGGTGGCCTACCCCTGCCCTATGCCATTTCAGACAAATGGTTGTCCAATCTCTTTTGGAAAACTTCCAGTGACCAAGCACCCACAACCTCTGCAGGGAAGTTGTTCCACTGATTAATTGTTCTTATTCTCAGAAAATTTCTTCTTATTTCTAGTTCTTTGCCCTCCTTTTGACAGCTAGAGGTCAGCATTTAAAGATGTTTGATATTCCCCAATCATAGATCAAGCTGATTTCTGTGCAACTGGAAAAATAAAGTAGTCTGGAAGAGCTTTTAGCTCTCTTTCTCACTTTCAGAATACAGGTAATTCTCATCTTATGATTGCAGTTGAACCCAAAATTTCTGCTGCTAAGAGAGACAGTTGTTAAGTGAATTTACCCCATTTTACAACCTCTCTTGCCACAGTTCTTAAGTGAATCACTGAGTTTATTAATGTAGTAACACAGTTGTTAAGTGAATCTAGTTTGCCTATTGACTTTCCTTGTCAGAAGGTCACAAAAGGTGATCATGTGACCTTGGGACACTGCAACTGTTACAAATACATGCCAGTTGCCAAGTGTCTGAATTTTGATCACATGACCATGGAGATGCTGCAACAGTCACAAGTGTGAAAAATGGTCATAAGTCACTTTTTTCAGTATTGTTTTAACTTCAAACAATTCACTAAATGAATGGTTATAAGTCAAGGACTACCTGTAGTGAGGGTTTTTAGTTCTGCATGAACAAAATGCCTGGAATAATGTGATACCCATAACAATTACAGGTAATTAATATCTCACTAAGCATATGTTTTTCAACTACTGTGAATTAAGACTTTAAGCTATATCCTATTAAATAGGATCTTAATCTAAGATCTTTTCCAAGACGTTATTGTCCTATATTCATCCAATAAGAGATGTTTCAATAAAGGGATGTGGGAAATCATCCCTCCCAGAGAAGGAAATATTAAAAGAGCAGAAAAAATGTATTTCCTCAAAGGATTTTAAAGAGGCAGAAAAGCATGCCCAGTTTTCTTAATAGCCCCAAGTCTCCCTCCCCCAAGCAGAAACCATCTCTGTAGAAATGCAGATGTAAACCATTCAGGAAGGTTGAAGCTAGAAGATTAAGAAGACAAAGACACCTAAAATCTACATACCCCACCCAAATTCTAAGACAAGACATAATAGGATTAACACAGAGATACCAAAGGGCACAGTCAGATTCAGGTCAAAGTTCATGCCACAGAAACAAGTCCAAACAAAAGGCTCTAGAGGGTATAAAAACCCACTCCCTACATGTGCTCACTCTCTTTTCTGCCAGAGCCATCTTTCTGTCTGGCTCTCCTCTTCAACAAACTGCAACCTTCTTCCTAAAGCAGTCACCATGTAGTTTATTCTCGGCTTGGACTGAACCATGATGAAGACTTTTCCTTCAACAGCGGTACATTAATAGTTCAAACATTCACTTTATTCGGTAAAATGGGGTTTTTTTTCTCCCACAGAAGGAGATGGTGATGTCCTATCAACTACCACTTGAAATGCTTGATGATCCATTTCAAAGGCAGAAATTAACGAGTGCTGCCAATGTGATTAGCAAAACTATGGGTGAGTGAAAAGATAGGAAAATAATTTTCAAAAATATTATGGGCAAGATTTTTAATTTTTTTAACTGTTTGATAAAAAGTGAAAATAATTTAGCTTCTTCTTCCCTTTTCTTCCCCTTCCCCTTCCCCTTCCTTCTCTGTTGAAAATGAAAAGGAGGAAAGTATTAATTCAACAGCAAAAGCCATCTGTGGAAATCCCATTCAGTCCTTTCAAAATGATATTTGTTCAAATAAAATAATGAACTGGAAAAACAATTCCACCACATATTTATGGAGTCCTTGATGTGTCTGAGCTTGGCTGGTTTTTTGTTTTTTGTTTTTTTTTGGCAGACATTTCATTACCAAACTAGTAATGAAATGTCTGAAAGAAAACTTTGGTAATGTTTGGTGATTAGTTTGGTAATGAAACATCTGGAAAATCAACAACCAAGCTCAGAAGCACCAAGGAACCCCAATATTTCAACCGTGAGCTGCAAAGGTTCTCTACATACTACATTTTTGTTTGGCTTTCTTTCTAAGCTTTTGGCTTTCACTACTGTCAGGTTTTCAAATAAATGCCAGTGATTTGGAAAATTTTACTCCTATTTTTTTTAACAACTAAACAACTTCAGTACCATTATTATATTACAAATAATTAAGTTTTCATGGCCTGAAATACATTTAAATTTGTGTCCTGTTCTATTCTTTACAAAACTAAGAAGGGTCTTCCCCAGAACGTGGTAAAAAAATCCAGAATGGCAATCATAATGATGTCATTGTTACCCCACCTGTTTTCATGTACATCACAACCTTATTTTTTTTTAACCATACTGTGGTTAACACTCCCTGGTCCTCTCCTCTGATTAGCCAAAGAAACCCAGAATTCAAACAGGAACACATCCACATTGTCTAATTGAAGCAATAATTATTATGACTATCGTATCCATAAAGCTTTACAAGCAGATTAAAGATGTGCAAATTGGTGACCACTAGCATGCTAAATTGCAATACACTATTCCAGGTCTCAACACCAGAGTCAGCATCACTGTGTCATGCATCTCGACAGCACTTCAAAAGGAACTTGCAGATTTTCCCAAAATTATTTTGTTTAGACGAAAATCAAAATATCTTGAATGTTGTAAATATTAAAATAGAATCCAGAATGGGGCTGCAAATTCAAGTGTAACTGAGAACTCTTCAGGCCAGGCAGAGTTTAAATGCCTTTCCTAATATGTCCCACAACCCAATTCTCAAGCTTGTTGAATCTGTCTGGTAACTCTTGTTTGTTACCTTCACTGGGAGCAGCTGTTGAACATACTAGGCAATAGGTTTTGTTCCTTTTTGTCCCTCAACTCTTAATGGTGGCGCATCTTTGTGTGTATGTATTTTTATGTGTGTGTGATGACCCAGGGCACAGCACAGAGACAATGCAGTCAGTTGGCAATTCAAACTATCCTTTAATTGCTCCAAATTTTCCCAAATGCTCCCACGTTTCTGGCAAGCCTCCAAACAACAGAAGACACACACACCTCTGGCTGCAAGTAGTTTCACATACAGTCTGATTTAGGAGAGGAATTTACTCAAGGTCATGGAGATAAGAGAGAATGACACATACATCATAAACCTAATGAGTGGGTGTGAATACACACTTGCCTGAACAGTTTCAGAAGGGAAGTCAAAATAAAGTCCAAGCTTTATAAACATCCAAGTAACATTGTCAGCCAGTCCAATGATCAGAGTTTCTGGGTTTCCAAGCAGAAGTCACAGAACAAGAGATCAGCAACAACACAGACAAAACTCCAAGGAATCAGCGTTTGTTCCTGACAAATGTCTCTCCCCACAGCGTCTCCTTAAATCTCAGTCTCCAGGTGTGCCTTTTGGAGAGGGGCAGGACACTCTCCTCCTGAGTAGTTGAGCCTGTCTGCATTGTTCCCTCCTTCTCTCTACTCTCTGTGCTCTAGGATCAGGTGGGGGAGGCCCTTGCTCATCGCCTCTCCTGTTCCAATCCTGAAGGGCCCTGGCCTGCCTCAGCCTGCTCTTCCCCACATTCCTCTGAAGCCACAGATATCTCTCACTCGACCTCCATTGGTTCCCATTCCAGCTCATTTTCCTCCGCAGATTCAGGCTCCCACGGAGGCATGACAGTGTATGTGTGAGAGAGGGAGATGCAGAAAATTTCACAATATTGTTCTACACTGCAGAAAGAGAGCTGTATAATCTATAGTGGTGTTTCTATAGGAAAAGACAAAGCAGAGTCTGGGGTGGAGTCAAGATAGGAATCAGCCTGGAGTCCTTACGCTGCTAGAAGTTGTCCAGCTTCCCCTTGAATTCCATTGACTCTTATCTAGTACCAATTTACTGCTGACAGTTAGTTGATTATTCTTGTGTATGAGCTATACATCTTCTGAACTAGAACTGTATGTGTGATCCTGATTCCATGTGCTTGATAGTTTGTCAGCTTTGGCCCTTTTAAAAGATGTGGACTTGTACTCCCAGTGTCGACTGGCCAGTTAGTTGGCTGAGGAATTCCACATCTTTTAAAAGGGTGAAAGTTGAGAAACTGTCAAGTGCCTGGTCTATAGTCTACAGGTAATGCTTGAATTGAATCCACAGTTATGGTCCATGTGACCCACAATGACAGTTCATGTGACCAGATCTGACTTTACGATCTTTTTTTGTGGTGGTTGTTAAGCGAACAGCTGGGAACACTGTTATCATTATATGAACCCATTGTATATGCTGGCTGAATGCCCAAAATGTCACATGTTGATTTCAGAACCAGACTGTAAATGTCATTTTAAATAAATAAATAAACTTTATTGTCATTGTATGTGTATACACAGTATACACATACAACGAAATTTATGTGACACCCAAACACTAGGTCCCACACACATAATCCCCAAACACACGCACACCCGCCACACTTCCCCACCCCTAAAACCACCCAAACATCCACCCAACAGACCAAGTAATACTGTCCAACAGTTCACTGATGGTGGCCCTTTAGTTCATTATTAAGTGCAATTATAGCTCTGGGATAAAAACTATTCCGAAAACGTGTGGAGTCTATTGTAATTTTGAACAGTCACTGAGTGATTATAAATCAAGGACTACCTGTGCAGTCAAAAATCAGCACCTTTTTTGACTATCAAACTTTAGGAATATTAAGACCTAATTATGGCAAAGAGAATGACTACTTGATATTGCATGTTTTAACTGCTACAAGGATAGTATTTGCCCATTTTTGGAAAAATGAGAATTTACCATCTGACCAGATTATTAGAGTGTGTAGAAATGGATAGACTAACATTAGAAATGAAAGAAAAAGATGATTCAATTTATTTTAGAACTTGGGAAATTTTTTTATCAATGGTTAGAGACATGTTAGAACTTGAAGGATTTAATATTTTAGAATAGATGACTGATTTTTAATCAAGTTCTAACTAACATTTTGATGATATCATTACTTTTCATTTGTTACTTTTGATTGTTAGGATTATTTTTTTTAGACTTCATTAGTAGTATTTACTTAATAGATCAACTTATTTGTTTACTAATTGTTTTTAATATGTTACAGTTTAAGCTTTGTTAAAAATGGTTGAATATGATATTTACTCACTATTATGATCCGGACGGTAGCTTGTTTGTTGAAATATGTGATTGTACCTATCCTTATTTTACCCTAATTCCTTATTTTCTTCCCCTCCCCCTTTCCTTTTACCCTTCCCTTTACCATACCTGTATTGTTCTTATTTTTCCTTACCTATATAAATTTAATAAAATTTTGTTAAAAAAAACTTTAGGAAAAGATGTATCGTATGCATTTCCATGAGATGCAATTTCAAGTTAAGCGTGTGTGTTAGTGCCAGGGATTACCTGGAAAGTTAAAATAGACGATATTATTCTGCATTAAGTTCTAAAATATTAACTTGTAATTATGTTCCTCTTGGTCTTCAGAATGGGAAGAACCCAAGTGTGAATTTCCTCCTGGCCTGAAAGAAGCTATCAAAAAGCATCTTACTTGGCAGTGCTGTTCGCTGTGGCTGCAAATAAAGAATATATTGAAGAAAATAATGATAAATCCTTTAATGGAGCTATTTATTACACTGTGCATTATAGCAAATACCCTGCTCATGGCATTGGAAAAACTTTCATTATCATCAGAACAGGTTACTGAGGGAAATAATGTAAGTGAATTCAATTTCTTATTAAGGTGATTGCCAGCCAATAATGATGTTTTCTGGGAAAATGTTCCTTTTTAAAACCTCGGTACTCTAATGTTGTATCTATTAATTGTGCATTAAATTATTCATTTTCTTCTACTCAGTTCTCTGAAATCACTCAGTTGCATAATGAAGTGGCCAGGGCATCTGCAAGAGCATTCAAGAAAACACAAGATGGTTTTAATAATCACCATCTTGATTTTTTAATGCCTTCCTGCCCACCCCGTGCCCCTGGTAGTGGCTATCGGATGAAAAAAGAAAATAATAGAACAGTTATAACCCTACCATAGGCATGAAAGCCATCTGGATGTCTTTGAGTCAATCATCAGGAAATGGAGCTCTAATCCTTCCTTAGGTTTGAAAGCTGGCTGGATGACTTTGGGCCAATCACTAGGACAGTGTTTCTCAACCTTGAGAATTTTAAGGCATGTGGACTTCAACTCCCAGAATTCCACAGCCAGCATTGCTGGCTGTGGAATTCTGGGAGTTGAAGTCCACATGCCTTAAAATTGTCAAGGTTGAGAAACACTGCACTAGGAGAATCTGAGTTCTAATTGTGCCTTACACATGAAAGTTGATTGGGTGACTTTAGGCCAATCACCAGGAGAGGGTGCGTTCTAGTCCCGCTTTAGGCATGAAAACCAGCTGGGTAATTTTGGGCCAGTCATAGTCTCTCAGCTCAACTCACTTCACAAGTTCGTTAATATAGGGAAAATTGGAGGAGGAAAGATTGTTAGGGATATTCGCCATCTTGAGTTACTTATGAAGTAATAAAGAGAGATAAAAATCTGATAAATAAATAAATAGACTTTGCCTTCTGAAATAATAAATCTGCAGCAAACAGTTTTTCATAGCTTAATTTAACAGTGTCTGAATTCTAGCTTTAGCATTATTACCAGAAGAACTATCTTATGAAGAAGCAGATAGAATCCTTTATATCTGCAATGCATTTGAATCAGTGTTCTTCTAACAGAAACCATACAGGTAGTCCTCAACTTACAACAGTTCATTTAGTGACCATTCAAAGTTACAACAGCAATGAAAAAAGTGGCATGACCTTTTTTCACATTTATAACCATCACAGCATCTCAATGGTCATGGGATCAAAATTCAGATTTTGGCAACTGACTCATATTTATGACAGCCATGTGATCCCCTTTTGCAACTTTCTGACAAACAAAGTCAATGGGGAAGGCAGATCCACTTAAAACCATGTTACTAACTTAACAACTGTAGTCTCATTTAACGACTGCAGCAAGAAAGGTTGTAAAATGGGGCAAAACTCACGTAGCAACTATCTTGCATATCAACATAAATTTTGGGCTCAGTTGTGGATGTAAGTTGTAGGTCCCTCCTCCTCCTCAACTCACAGATTGTAGCTCTTCCCAGCAATCTCTGGGCAGTTTAAATGCAACAGAGTCCAATCAGCAGGGGCTCAGCTACTTTCCTCTTCCACCCTCCTCCTTCTTAACTCACAGAACGTAGCTTTAATTTCTAATAGAGGCATAAAACATCTTAGGAGATGTTACTGTTCATTTAGGGAACGTTCAAAGTTACAATGGCACTGAAAAACATGACTTACAATTGGCCCTTTGCACTTATAACGGTAGCAACATCTGCAAAGTCACCTGATGATTGCCATTTGCAAGCCTCAGCAGAATTCAGCAAGCCAGGGGATTCAGACAAGCAAAGTCAATGGCGGAAGCAGGATTCATTTAATAAATGCAGTCATTCACTTAATAACTGCAGTGATTCGCTTAACAACTGTGGCAAAAAGGCCATGAAATTTGGACATGACCAACTTAGCCACCACCTTGCATAGCAACAGAAATTTTAGTCCCAATTGCGCTCATAAATTGAGGACTATCTGTTTATAAATCAGAGCTATGTACCAACGCCAAGTGAATTACATTCTCCAAGAATGGAAGCCCTTTCTCTCCCACATTTCTGAGCAGAGAGATTGGGTGGCTGAATTCTTTCATTTGCTCAAAAACTGAATATAGCACCATTACTAAAGCAGCCTAGTGAGAATTTCCTTACAATCCTCTTTAGGATTTAATAGAAACCTGGGAGGCTGCAAATTAAGATTATTATTTAATCTATTTATTAGATGTTTATCCCACCTTTTAAAACTTTTTATGATTAATTCAAGATAGCAAATATGTTGGAATATTCATGAACAGGAAGAGTCATGTGTAACTCAGTCAGCCAATGTGAGGAAAGTGCTACTGAGTCTGTGCAAAAAGAGTATTGGGTTAGGAGCTGGATTTCCAGTCTCTGGTTTTGTCTCTGGTCTGTCTCTGTAAGAAGTCTTCATTAAGCTATGTTGCTGTAAAGAAGAATGGTATTGTAAATATTTTTATATAAATATAAAGTTATTTGAATCAGCTAAATGCAGTCAACTGTAAGAGCTTCTGATTTATTTTTCACCAATTAGAGAAATTAAAATTCTCTAACAAAATATAATATTCTTTCTACCTCCTTGTTTCTCCCATAACACCAACCCTGAGGTGGCTTGGGCAGAGAGAGAGAGATTGGTTGGTTCCTAGTCAGCTTTCATGCCTAAGTTGGGACTAGAACTCACCCTCTCCTGGTGATGGGCTCAAAGTCACCCAGCTGGCTTTCATGCCTAAGGCAGCACTAGAACTCGCAGTAACTTGGTTTCCAGGCCAGTCCCTTAACCACTACATTGGTTGACCATCTCTTCATTAAGTAAGTGTAAGAGCATCCCATGACCCCAAACATCCTCCTTTAAAAAGAATGCATAATTATTTTCCAGCCTATTATGTAAGAACTGATAGAAAAAAAATGCAGGATATTTTTTTCTGCCCAGCATTAGGATAACTAAGAATTACTATTACATAAAGCAATATAATTTACAGGAAAGAAAAGAAGAAGAAAAACATCATTATTGTATTTCAGAGAAAGAGATTAATACCAAATTTTTAGTTTAGTTCTGATATATTTTCTTGCAGGTGTTTACTGCCATTTTTATGGCTGAAATGGTCCTCAAGATGATTGCGCTAGATCCGTATTACTATTTTCAGTGCCCCTGGAATGTGTTTGACTTCATTGTGGTTATTATCAGCGTAATAAACATGGCGTTCAGCATGCGAACAATTTTCAGAACGGTAATGAAGAACCCTTTTGATACAATCAAGTATAAATCTTTTATGTCCATCCTGTGAATGAACTCCTACTTTTTAAAGGAAATTAATTAGACTGCTAAATTTGAGTAATGAAGTGCCTTATTTTTGGCAATAATTTGGCCAGCTTTTTCTGGGTGCCTATTCTATGTTGTTTTCTTGGTATGGTACAGGTGAGGCCAAACAATATATAATAATGACAATTATGTCTTGTTGATAGGCTGCTCTTCTCTTGAACAGCCTGCCAGAATAGCTAGTCATCAAAGAAACATCATATGAAGCAGCCTATTTACCTGTTGATTCAGAGAGATATACTGGGATCAGGAAGCATTTTTAATCTTCTCTGAATCATTAATGATAGACATGTACTATCTATATATAATTTCAGATGTAAATACCATCCTCTTGTACAAGTGGCTGTTTGTATAAAGGTGCATTTTGAACTGCCTTTTGGTATGAAAAGTCTGATGTATATTTTATCAGTAGAATGAACTGTGCATATAGTATAAAACTCAAATCTGCTTGATTCCTGTGTTCTTTCCTTTCCTCCCCAACAGCTGAGAATCTTCAAACTTTCAAAATTTTGGCCAGCTTTAAATAAGCTTATGAAAATAATGTTGAAATCAGTGGGCCCTCTGGGTAACCTCACCCTTGTTCTGATATTCACCGTATTCATTTTTGCTGTGGTTGGCAAGCAAGCATTTGGGACTTATTACAGCATGGTCACTGCAAATGTTAGCATCTGCAACAACGGCAGTATGCCCAACTGTGTTTCCAGTAATGGTTCCGAGACATGCCAGTTGCGTTGGCACATGAAGGATTTTTTACATTCGTTTCTTATTATATTCCGAATCCTGTGTGGAGAATGGATTGGTACCATGTGGGAATGCATGGAAGTTGCTGGGGAAGGACGGTGCATAATTCTGTTCATGCTGGTCCTGGTTTTAGGAAATCTGGTGGTAAGTTTCCAAAGATTTTTGTCAGAACTATTTAAATTGGAGCCTTTCTCAGTTAACAAAACTGAGGAGGGGAACTTTCCCCTTCAAAGTCCAGTTGTCCAATTTCTTCTTCTGTAAACAGAAATATAATTTACTTCTAGAATAACGTATAATGTGAATTATTTATTTATTTATTAGACTTCTAGGTTGCCCATCTTGCCTAGAGCTGCCTCTGGGAGGCTTACAAACTTATTTTTCACAATCTCACATCTTTATCAGAGCTGGTGCTTTTACACTACAGGTACTCTTTAACTTGCAACTACAACTGAACCCAAAATTTCTGTTCCTAAGCAAGATAGTTATTAAGTGAATTGTGCCCGATTTTATGACCTTTCTTGCCACCATTGTTAAGTGAATCCCTGCAGTTGTTCAGTTAGTAACACAGTTGTAAAGTGAATCTGGCTTCCCTATTGTCTTTGCTTATCAGAAGGTCACAAAAGGGGATCACATGACCCCAGGACATATCATAAATACATGCCAGTTGCCCAGTGTCCAAATTTGGACCACATGATCATGGGGATGCTGTAACATTCGAAAGTAGTTGAGTACCATTGGAAGTTTGAGTGGTCACTAAATGAATGGTTGTAAGCTGAGGATTACCTGTAGTTTTTTTTTTTAAAAAAAAACCAAAACTTTTTCTTTCTCCACAGAGATGATCTCATGATAGATTTTCTTCTGTGTATTGCTTTCTTGCTCATCTTGGAAGTTAAATAGGGCTGGATCCTAGTTTGTACTTGGGTAAAGCACCATAAAGCAGCAGTCCCCAATCTTTGCGGCTTGGGAGGGTGGGAAAAGGGGAACTGCGCCACGTGAGCTCAGTTCATGCAAGTGGTGGGTTGGTGTGTATGCGTGCACACACCTTAACTTATGCAAGTGACAGACCAATTTCTTTGAGCACGTGAACATGCCGCTTGATTGCAAATTGAGCTGCGCATGCATGTGCTTGCACAGCAGCCACCCATTTGCATGAGTTTAGCTGCATGTGGGCCAGCTCACAGCTTGTGCAGTCTGGTTGCAAATAGGCCATGATGCAGTGGTGGGCCACGAGGGTTGGGGACCCTGCAATAAGGACCATCTTGGAAACAATTTCCCAGAAGAATGTTGTTGGAATATAGTTTTCTTGTATTCTATGCAACAACTACAGCAGTAGAGCTAGTAGGGGGCAGTGTTTGTAAGTTTGCTAGTTTTATCTCTAATATGTTCTATGTCTTTTCTCTGTATAAAAAGTTTCCTGTTTCCTTCTAATAGTTAAGCAGTAAAGCACATGGTGACTGTGCATTTTGCTTGTTCTGTAGGACTATATAAACAGAATTTCTAACACAATAAAGAATCCATAATACTACTAGAAAAACTGAATGCACTTCATGGGAGTTATCAGGAGTCACTTGGAAGAAGACTATTTGCTTGAGCGCACTTTTGCCAAATTGAAGGAATGGGCTAAATTATTGCCCTTGGGAGACAATGTATTGCCGTGTTCATTGCTTGATGGATTTTTTTCATTGTTCAAATCATACTATTTTCACTATTTTCATACTATTTTCAAGCACAGTCAAACAAAAGATGGAATTAACACCTGCTATTACCTGTGAAGCTCCTTCAGACTTTGTATTTAATGCCCACTCTTTCCATTTTTTCAGAGAAGGAATTGTGATTTTATTTTTCAGTCAGGTCTTTAGCATTAAATTAAATGATTTTAGCAAATGCTTTTCCTGGGGTTTTAACAGATAGCTGCCTGGAGGATTCTGTGGGTGGAAAAGAGTGGTATGGATTTGAAACATACATACATACATACATACATACATACATACATACATGCATACACACATGAGAAGAGAAGCGAGTGAAAAATTTTATCCAGTTATTTCAGGAGCAAAACTGAAGAGTTGGCAGTATTTGAGTACTAGACCAGTTTCGGAGGAGAGTATTTACACAGCAGAGAAAAATGGCTTGATGTTGTAATCCTATATTTATCTATTCAGAAATAAGCCTTATTATCCCAGGCCCTATGGATAGGATTGTAGTCTGAATATAAGTAGTCTTTGACTTACAACCACAACAGAGCCCTACATTTTCATGACCAAGAGGGATAATTGTCAGGTGGGTTTTGCCCCATATTACGACATTTCTTGCCACAGCTGTTAAGTGAATCACTGCAATTGCTAAGTTAGTAACACAGTTGTAAAGTGAATCTGGCTTCTCCATTGACTTTGCTTGTCAAAAGGCTGCAAAAGTGGATCGTATGACTCTGGGACACTCCAATTGTCATAAGCAACTGCTTATGAGTCAATTGCCAAGCAACTGATTTTTGATCACGTGACCAAGGGGATTGTGCAACCTTGTGAAAAATGGTCATAAGCCACTTTTTCAGTGCCGTTGTAACTTCAAGGGGGTCACTAAATTAATGGTTGTAAGTCGAGGACTACCTGTATCTTACTCTGAAATAGATATTTTTCTATCTTTAAAAAAAAACTTGCTTTTCTTCCACGCAGGTCCTCAACCTCTTTATCGCTCTGCTGCTGAGTTCCTTCAGTAGCAGCGATTGCGAAACAGAGGCTGATAACCACAAACCCCAGCCTGAAAAGGCTGTCGCACTCCTACAGAGGGGGCTGCGCTTTGTCAGACTTTTCCTGTGGGATTGGTGTTGCAATGTGCTCCTGAAGAAGATGAAGATAAGAGGCACAGAGAAAAAGAACAAGGCAACCGTCACTGAAAAGTCCTGTGAGGATGAATCCACGAAAGAGATCTCAGAGAACTTTGCTAGCAAGGAATCCTTCGGGAATTGGGATAAACCTCCGTGGGATAGAAAACAGGAAGATTTTGTGACCGATTACAAGGAGCTTCCCCCTGTTCCCCTGGCTGAACTGGAGTCATTAAGTATTGAGGAAATGGACCTTAGTATCCTGGTAGGGAACAACTATCCTAACTTGCTGTTTTTATTCCCTGTGAAAGTATAATAAAACATTTGGGGAAAATTTCTTTCTAGTGTTTAAGTGGTTCTGTATTAGCTTCCTTTTTGGTTGACATGTACCAAGTGAATTTTCTTTTTATCAGTTGTTACCTTTAGGAGGCATCTGAAAGGATTAAACAGGTTAACTGATAATAAAAACTGTTTCCCAGGGTAACAAAACTGAAAAGTCATGACTACAGGTAGTCCTGTAATTAGAACCTTTAATTGGGACCAAAATTTCCACTGTTGGACAAGGCTGTTGTTAAGTGAACTGTGCCTGATTTCATGATCCTGTTTGCCACATTGTTAAGCTAATCACTGCAGTGAATCTTGCAGTCATTGTATGAATCTGGCTTTCCCCATTGACTTTGCTTGTTGAAAAGTGGCAGGGAAGATTGCAGTGGTGGGATTCAGCCAGTTCGCACCGGTTCAGTAGAATCGGTAGCTAAATTTTGCTGAGTTTGGAGAACCAGCTGAATGCACACTGCTTCTGGAAGTCCAGTCTAGGCCTCGGAGGCCTGGAAGAGGCCTCCCAGGCCTAGAATGGCCCACCGGAAGTGCGTGGATGCCACTTCCAGAAGTCCGTTCTAATCTTCAGAGGCCTGGAGAAGGCCTCCCAGGCCTAGAACAGCCCGCTGGACGTGCATGGATGCCACTTCCGAAAGTCCGTTCTAGACCTCGGAGGCCCAGGTCTGCATCGAATAAGAGTTGTTCAGGTATTTGAATCCCACCACTGGAAGATTGTATTTGGTGATCACATGGTCCCAGGATGCTGCACCTGTCATAAATACATTCCAGTTGCTGAGCATCTGAATTTTGATCATGTGACTGTGCAGATATCACGCCAGTCATAAATATGAGACCTGGTTGTAAGTCCCTTTTTCAGCGCTGTCATAACTCCGAATGGTTGTTAAAGGATAGTTGTAAGTTAAGGATTACCTGTGTGTAACTTGAATAGCAGACGTTGGGAAGAAATGGGGTGTTGGATTTATCTCATTTTACTGTATATTTGAAGTGGCATGGTATCTCAGCTGCTTGTCAGCTGGAAAACCAGCAGCCCAGGTTTGAGACCCAAGGACCATGCGACAGGATGAGCTCCCGTCCTTGCTCCAGCTCCTGCCAACTTAACAGTTGGAAAGCAGGTAAATGTGAGTAGATAAATAGGTACCACTTCAGCGGGAAGGTAACAGCACTCCGTGGCATCATGCTGGCCACATGATCATGGAAATGTCCTTGGTCAGTGCTGGCTCAACAGCCTTGACACAGAGATGAGCACTGGCCCCTAGAATCAGTAACAATTAGCGAAATAAAATCTTCAGAGACTCTTTGATCTTTACTTTTTTTTAAAAAAATCTGTATATATGAGCTCTGGAGGAATAAAAATTCAATAGACTTTTTGAATAATCCAAATATGGCTCAAACATGCTCATACACAAGGCAATGCATGTTTCATGCCCAAAGGATGTGGCTGATATAATTTACTCTTGTGCATTCATCACATTGATAGTATTTCAGAATAAATAGTTAAGATTTTTTTTTTCATTTCTTTGTTGCTTTTTTATACCTTTTTATGTTTGGTATGGAACTATTTATTTCAGAATAAATAGTTAAGATTTTTTTCATTTCTTTGCTGCTTTTTAATATCTTTTTATGTTTGGTATGGAACTTCTTTGTGTTGAAGAAACTTGAAACTTGGCATAGCAAACCTTTTTTTTTTGGCTGTCTTTTTCTAGGAGAACAATTTGCGAAAGAGGAGAGAAATATATCAAGACCATAATCGAAGATTCTCTTCCCAGGTTTCTGAAACTACAAGTGTTTGGTCTTTGGATGTTCCCAAGGTAAAGCCAATAAAAATGGTCAAAGACAGCTTCATTACTTGTTGAGAAAATGGTACTTTGCATTCTCTAAAATTTGACCAGAGAAATTACCACTCTTAGGTTACTTTTACAAAAGAGTTCCAGAATTTTTTTTGTCTCATCCCTTTGGCATGCAATGGTCCCTTCTTGTAAGTATGGAAAGGCAGAACTGAGTTTGTGTGGGGAAGACTTTATTTCCATGATACTTTACTCTCTTTCTCAGGGCAAACAGCTTTTGAATTTAAAACCCAGGCAAATGGCATCCATTCTTCAAAGGTATGTCATTTGAGTAGACAATAATCCCTGTAGGAACTCTAATTAAATACTCTCTGTTCAGAGCACACCTATTGTAGCAACAAGGCCAATCAAAACATTGAAAAAAGTTTTTTACACTTCACTTATTATTTATTGGTTATCTAATTGACTTATGTAGCCACCCATCGACCTATGATTCAGGGCAGCTCATGAAATTTATAAACAGTGGCTCAATTTTAGAAAACCTCATAATGAAACACAGTATAAAGACATGATCTGGCAGTTAGGAAATAGGAAATACATGTGTATATATACAGCAGTTTGCCTCTAGAAATTGTGAGTGCTGCATTACTGGAAGTTTTAAAGAAGAGACTGGACAGTCCGAAATGCTATAGTGCAGTGATGACGACTTGATGACCCCTCATCCTCCTGCACCTACCCCAGTCTAAGACACCTGCAGCCCCTCCCCCCCCAATCATACCCTCCTGCCCCACAGCTGGGACCTCCAGCAATTCCGCAACCGGGAGCTGATTGGATGGTGGGGAAATGGGAGGATTTATACTCCTTGCAGACAGCCGGTCATTTGCATTCTTTTATAGCAGGGGTTCTCATCTTTGGCAACTTTAAGACTTGTGGACCTCAACTCCCAGAATTCCTCAGCCAGCTTTGCTGGCTGAGGAATTCTGGGAGTTGAAGTCCACAAGTCTTAAAGTTGCCAAGGTTGAGAACCCCTGTTTTATAGAGTCGTTGAGGCCACCTGGAGGTTTATCTGTGTCATCAGAGTCACCTGAGTGGTGGAAATGAGTGTGGAGCCTTCTTGGAACTGCTGAAAGGACCATGTTATAGCCTGGAGATAGATAATGTCGTACAGAATTCTTTCAGCAGTTTCAAGAAGGCTCCACACATCCAAGTGGTCTCAGTGACTCTCTAAAAGAATGCAAATGACCAGCTGCCTGCAAAGAATATAAATCCTTTCATTCCATTCTCATCCAAGAAGCTGAAGAAGCTTCCTGGATAAGAAGCGAAACGTCTTGAAAAGAAAAAAAAGCAAGAAAGTCCATTTGCCTCATGAAAAAGCATTTTTGGCATTACTATGACCTGGATAACTGAGAATCTCCATAGACATTTGTTGTTGTTGTTAACTGCGAAGTCGTGTCCGACCCATCGCGACCCCATGGACAACGTTCCTCCAGGTCTTCCTGTCCTCTACCATCTTCTGGAGTCCATTTAAGTTCACACCTACTGCTTCAGTGACTCCATCCAGCCATCTCATTCTCTGTCATCCCCTTCTTCTATTGCCCTCAATCTTTTCCAGCATTAGGCCCTTTTCCAGTGAGTCCTTCCTTCTCATTAGGTGGCCAAAGTATTTGAGTTTCAACTTCAGGATCTGGCTTTCTAAAGAGCAGTCAGGGTTGATCTCTTCTAGGACTGACCGGTTTGAACGCCTTGCAGTCCAAGGGACTCGCAGGAGTCTTCTCCAGCACCATAGTTCAAAGGCCTCAATTCTTTGGCGCTCAGCCTTTCATATGGTCCAACTTTCACAGCCATACATTGCAACTGGGAAAACCATGGCCTGGACTATACGCACTTTTGTTGGCAGGGTGATGTCTCTGCTTTTAGTATGCTGTCTAGATTTGCCATAGCTTTCCTCCCCAGGAGCAAGCGTCTTTTAATTTCTTGGCTGCAGTCCCCATCTGAGGTGATCTTGGAGCCCAGAAAAAATAAAATCTGTCACTACCTCCATTTCTTCCCCATCTATTTGCCAGGAATTGAGAGGGCTGGATGCCATGATTTTGGTTTTCTTAATGTTGAGTTTCAAGCCAACTTTTGCACTCTCCTTCTTCACCCGCATCAAGAGGCTCTTTAGTTCCTCTTCACTTTCTGCCATCAGAGTGGTATCATCTGCATATCTTAGGTTGTTGATATTTCTCCCGGCAATCTTAATTCCAACTTTTGATTCATCTAGCTCTGCCTTTCTCATGATGTGCTCTGCATATAAGTTAAATAGGCAGGGCGACAGTATACAGCCTTGCCGGACTTCTTTTCCAATTTTGAACCAATCAGTGGTTCTGTGTCCAGTTCTCACTGTTGCTTCTTGACCCGCATATAGGTTTCTCAAGAGACAAATGAGATGGTCTGGTACTCCCATCTCTTTAAGAACTTGCCACAATTTGTTGTGATCCACACAATCAAAGGTTTTAGCATAGTCAATGAAGCAGAAGTAGATGTTTTTCTGGAACTCCCTAGCTTTCTCCATGATCCAGCGTATGTTGGCAATTTGATCTCTAGTTCCTCTGCCTCTTCGAAATCCTGCCTGTACTTCTGGTAGTTCTCGATCTACATACTGCTGGAGTCTAGCTTGTAGGATTTTAAGCATAACTTTACTAGCATGTGAAAAGAGTGCAATGGTGCTATAGTTAGAACATTCTTTGGCATTGCCTTTCTTTGGAATTGGAATGTAAACTGACCTTTTCCAATCCTGTGGCCACTGTTGAGTTTTCCAAATTTGCTGGCAAATTGAGTGTAGCACTTTAACTGCATCGTCTTTTAAGATTTTGAATAGCTCAGCTGGAATACTGTCACCTCCACTAGCTTTGTTGTTGCTCAGATTTTCTAAGGCCCATTTCACTTCACATTCTAGGATGTCTGGTTCGAGGTCAGTGACTATCTCATTGTGGTTATCTGGGATGTTAAGCTCATTCTTGTATAGTTCTTCTGTGCAGTTTTGCCATCTCTTCTTAATCTCTTCTCCCTCTATTAGGTCTCTGCCATTTTGGTCCTTTATCATGCCCATCTTTGCATGAAATGTTCCCTTCATATCTCCAATTTTCTTGAAGAGAGCTCTGGTCCTCCCTATTCTGTTGTTTTCTTCTATTTCTTTGCACTGTTCATTTAAGAAGGCATTCTTATCTCTTCTAGCTACTCTCTGGAATTCTGCATTCAATTGGGTGTATCTTTCTCTTTCTCCTTTGCCTTTCGCTTCCCTTCTTTCCTCAGCTATTTGCAAAGCTTCCTCAGACAGCCATTTTGCTTTCTTGCATTTCTTTTTCTTTGGGATGGTTTTAGTTGCTACCTCTTGTACAATGTTGCGAACTTCCATCCATAGTTCTTCAGGCACTCTGTCTATCAGATCTAATTCCTTAAATCTATTTGTCACCTCTACTGTATATTCATCAGGAATATGATTTAGTTCATACCTGAGTGGCCTAGTGCTTTTCCCTACTTTTTTCAATTTAAGCCTAAATTTTGCAACGAGAAGCTCATGATCTGAGCCACAGTCAGCTCCTGGTCTTGTTTTTACTGACTGTATAGAGCTTCTCCATCTTTGGCTGCAGAGCACATAGTCAATCTGATTTCTATGTTGACTGTCTGGTGATGTCCATGTGTAGAGCCGTCTCTTGGGTTGTTGGAAAAGAGTGTTTGTTATGACCATCGTATTCTCTTGACAAAATTCTATTAGCCTGTGCCCTGCTTCATTTTGTACTCCAAGGCCAAACTTGCCTGTTATTCCGGTTATCTTTTGGCTTCCTACCTTAGCATTCCAATCCCCCATGATGATAAGGACATCATTTTTTGGTGTTAATTCTATAAGGTGCTGTAGGGCTTCATAAAACTGGTCAATTTCATCCTCTTCAGCACCAGTGGTTGGGGCATAGATTTGGACTATTGTGATATTGAATGGTTTGCCTTGGATTCGAATTGAGATCATTCTGTCATTTTGGGGATTGTATCCCAGTATTGCTTTTCCTATTCTTTTATTGACTATGAAGGCTACTCCATTTCTTCTGAGGGATTCTTGCCCACAGTAGTATACCTGATGGTCATCTGAGTTAAATTCACCCATTCCTGTCCATTTTAGTTCGCTGATTCCTAAGATGTCGATGTTCAGTCTTTTCATCTCTTTTTTGACTACGTCTAGCTTGTCTTGATTCATGGATCTTACATTCCAGGTTCCTATGGAGAAAAAATCTTTACAGCATCGGACTTTCCTTTCACCACCAGATATATCCACAGCTGAGCGTCCTTTCGGCTTTGGCCCAGTCGCTTCATTCTTTCTGGCGCTACTAGTACTAGCCCTCTGCTCTTCCCCAGTAGCATATTGGACACCTTCCGACCTGAGGGGCTCATCTTCCAGCGTCATATCTTTTTTCCTTTTAGTACTGTCCATGGGGTTTTCATAGCAAAGATACTGGAGTGGTTTGCCATTTCCTTCTCCAGTGGATCACATTTTGTCAGAACTCTCTGCTATAACCTGTCCTTCTTGGGTGGCCCTGCATGGCATAGCTTATAGCTTCATTGAGTTATGCAAGCCCCTTCGCCACGACAAGGCAGTAATCCATAAAGGGGCCATAGACATTTAGCTATAGATAAATTTCCTATGTATCACATGAGGTTTTCTGCATGTTTCTTGGAGATCTCAAAGATCTAGTAAAAAGTGTGTTGAGTTTCAGCCTTTTTCTTTTCCTATCATGAATAGAATGTTCCTGACTAATGTATACCGCTACCTTAATTCCTCAGATGCTGATTATGATTTTTTCCTCCTCCTATCCAGAGATCAGATTATGATACGAGCTGTTCAGAGATTAGCACAGTGGATCAGAGATCTCCTATCAATCCGGTGCCTGAAGTCAAGAAGGAACCTCAGGACTGTTTCCCACAAGGTGAAGACCAGTTTTCTTGGCAGAAAACTACTCAGATAAAAAAATCTGTTGAAATGTTGATCAGTGGCAGTCATCCTTTTTGGTAAATGTGCCAAATCAAAAATAATGGTTCATCCCGATTATTATTATTATATGTCTGCACCATCAGCCATATGTTTAAACTGGATTTGGTATTTTAATCCACCAACTGAGTCCTTTCCAAGGACCTGGAATAGGCAGATATGGATGTTTGATGGAGTTAAAGGTCCCATCGCAGGATGTAAGCTGTTCCAAGTAAAGCTGCCTTTTGCAATTGACTGGTGGTGAATTTGTCAATGCCTATGGTGTTCAAGTGGCACTCCAGTTCTGTTAAATTTGTTTTCCACCTATTTTGCCATGGGGCTACTCTAGGCAGCTTATAGCCCAGCCTATTATTTATGCTAAGCAAATTTATATTGTACGGCTTTAATATTTATCCATCTTAAAAACTTTAGCTCCTGGTGGCTAACAAACAATTGCTTCTAACTACAGGCTTGAAGAAGCAGCAACAACAAACACATTTTGCTTCTCCAGACCTTCATTTCCTCAGAAAGTGCTAAGGCTTTCCCAGTCAGTTCACACACACCCCTTCCCCAGGTGTTTTTGTTTTCTATTAAAAACTCAGCTTTGGGTCTAATAGTTCAAGAATATTATTATTAGGAAAGGCAATAGGAGCAGTGGTGGGATTCAGCCGGTTCGCACCAATTCGGCAGAATCGGTAGCTAATTTTTGGTTACCCAGGAAGCGGCAAGCATACAGAGAACTGTTTGTTCACATATTTGAATCCCACCACTGAATAAGAGCTATTGATTTTTGAAACTTATTACTCAGGGAGACTAGTATTCAGGCCTTTTCATCTGTTGAAGATGTTTTATATATATATATATACATACATACATACATATATATATATATATATATATATATATATATATATATATATATATATACACACACATACACATACACACACACACACACCCACACACACACACATATATATATATATGTAGGTCTTTGGTTGTTCGGGTTTTCTCCCACGTAAAATTGGAAGTGTCTTGGCAACGTTTCGACGAAGTCTCATTCGTCATCTTCAGGCTGGTGTTTTCAGCTTCGTGCTTTGAGCAGCTGCTCAAAGCACGAAGCTGAAAACACCAGCCTGAAGATGACGAATGAGACTTCGTCGAAACATTGCCAAGACACTTCCAATTTTACGCGGGAGAAAACCCGAACAACCAAAGACCTACATACAAATACCCGCGAAAACCTCAGAAAACACATATATATATATATATAGTGAGAACAAAATATGATCACCAGGAAAAGTTAAAACATTAAAAGTTTTAATATAAAACAGAAGTTTTAAATAAAAACATAAAAAGTTTTAAAAATTAGCAACCTAGCTTTCGTCGGCTCCTGCCAACTTCATGATGTTAAAGGTAGATGTCAGAAGGGAGGAGGAGGGGAGGGCCCTAAACTCATGGAGAGTTCAAAGGAAGAGAGAAGGGGTGAGACAACTTGGTGGGGATGACACCTCGAGTTGGAATAAGATTGAAGATCTTCCTAGACCACGGATACGGATGAGTAGAGAGTCGGAGGCTTGTTTAAACTCTGATGAGGGACGCGTGATACAAGTAGATGAGTCATTCAATCATGCAGCAATTGCAACGAATGCTAAGATTGGCCGACCTGGATCCGTTACACAATCCAGGTGTCGAGCGCAGGCGTTAACTTACATATAAATGTTTACTCCCATTGATTTATGTATGCCCTGATGAAGTTGGCAGGGGCCAACAAAAGCTAGGTTGCTAATTTTTAAAACTTTTAATGTTTTTATTTAAAACTTCTGTTTTATATTAAAACTTTTAATATTTTAACTTTTCCTGGTGATCATATTTTGTTCTCACCATGTACACACCCAGGCTCACCTCTACAAAACCTAGCCAAATTTCTCACCAAACAACTACAGCCCTATGCAGAATCCATCACCTCACATATAAAAAACCTCATTCCAGTTTATAGAGATCATAAAGAAACAAAACTTACAGCCCAGCGACCTACTCGTGAGCTTCGATGTCATATCCCTCTTCACCCAAGTGCCTATCAAAGAAGCCTTGACAGCTATCCAAAACAAATATACCCCCCCCAAACACATCTTAGATCTGACCAACCACTGCCTATCCAACACATACTTCATCTATAATGGACAAAAATACAAACAAACAGAAGGAGCACCCATGGGATCACCCCTCTCACCTGTCATTGCAAACCTCTACATGGAACACTTTGAAACCCAAGCTCTAGAAAAATCGGATCACAAACCCAAACTCTGGCTCAGATACGTAGACGACACCTTCATAATCTGGCCACATGGGAAAGAAAAACTGGACAACTTCCTCACACACCTCAACAGCCTACACTCCAAAATACAGTTCACCATGGAAACAGAAGCTAACAACCAACTTCCCTTCCTGGATGTCTTAGTCTACAAGAAATCCAATGGCTCCCTAGGACACACCATCTACCAGAAGAAAACACACACAAACCGCTATCTGCACGCTCTCTCACACCACCACCCAGCACAGATCAACTCTGTAGCCAAGACACTCATCTCCAGAACAAAACGCTTAGCTGACGAACAGCACCTAAAAACCGAACTACACACTCTCACCAATGTACTAACATCCAATGGATTCCAAAGAAATAAGATTACAAACCTAATCCAAAAAGAAACCCCCAATAAAATCCAAGACAAAGAACAAGAAAACGGCAAAGCCCTCCTCCCATACATAAAAGGCACCACAGACAGAATCAGTAAGATCCTCCATAAACACAACATCAAAACAGCATTCTGCACAAACAGAAAAATATCCACCATCCTTAGAAACCCCAAAGATAAAATTGACTTAGAAAATCAAGGAGTATATGAAATCCCATGCACTGCTTGTCCCAACACATACATCGGACAAACCAACAGAAGAATAAGTGCACGCATTGAAGAACATAAGAACTCAGTCAAAAAAGAGGAACCAACATCTTCCCTGGTCCAACACCTTAAAGCCACAGGACATGAAATTGACTTTAAAAATACCAGAACCATTGCCAAAAGTGAACATTTTAATAACAGAATAATCAGAGAAGCCATCGAGATAGAAAAACGCCCACACAGCATGAACAAGCGAGATGATACCTCCCGCCTACCAGCCATTTGGAAACCCGCCCTTATTGACAAACGACTCCCTAACACAAAAAATGATACCAGACCCACACTCACAAAAACCACACAGGATGTCACCACCACACATCCACGCAAAAAGCAAACCCAAAGCCACACCGATGATGAGGCACGACCACAAACCAGAAGCCAGACCACAGCTGCATCATTAGCCACTTTAAACCCCTCCAATCCATACATGAAGCAAACTGACACCCTCCATGAAGATGAGGCACGACCACGAACGCGAAGCCAAAAAATAGCAAGGCAGCCCAAAATCTTAAACCCCCCTGCAACTCAGACTAACCTGAGCACAACCAAACAGAACACTCCCCCAGCCAATCAGAGCACAGCCAACCCCCCAGCCAATCAGAGCACAGCCAAGCCCCTAACCAATCAGAACACACCTCCACCCAATCAGAACACAGCCAAGCTCCCACCCAATCAGTTCATACCCCCACTGGCAGTTAAAAGGAAGAAACAGCTAAGACCACACATTGCTGCTCGAAGCACGAAGCTGAAAGCACCAGCCTGAAGATGACGAATGGGACTTCGTCGAAACGTCGCCAAGACACTTCCAATTTTACGCGGGAGAAAACCCGAACAACCAAAGACCTACATACAAACACCCGCGAAAACCTCAGAAAACAAATATCGAACCTCTACGGGGAGGAAATCCACCATCTGACCAGGACCTATGAAAAACTTGAAGTCCAAAGAGCTTCCATTCTATGCGACCTCACATTCCTACGCAATTGCCGAGATCAAAATCTAATCCCCACATGTTTCCAACTGAAATTCCACTCCAACTCTGCAGCCACCAAACGGATCCTGAAAAGAACAGAATTGGCCCTAATCAGAAATGAACTTCACACAAAAAGATTCCTCCTAGACCAAATTAACAAAGATCTCCTCACGCTCCACCTCAAACTCAGCAACAAGATCCACCCCGCACTTTGGGACAAATCCAAACAACTCGCCGTCTGGAGAGCCGAAACACAGACCACCCTCAAGACAGATACACACACCATCAAACTCCGAAGACTACAAGAACGCCAGAAACAAACCCCTCCTCCCTCACAGCCACACATGAAACAAACAGTGCATAACATCTCAGATAGGATCCTCACCAAAGCTGAAACCAATGTCCTTTCCAAAGGATTCAACTTTGCAGTCGCTCCCAAACACATCCCCACTGAAACCATTATATGTGGAGTTGAAACCAGCCTGACCAAAATCAACCCCGACGACGCTAACAGAGTCAGACTCGAAATCACCAACATCCTCTGCACCAGCAAGCCACCCAAAAACAACTTACCCAAAGAGGAACAGACAGCACTACGTAACCTGGAAGAAGACACCAGCATAATAATCCTACCAGCAGACAAGGGCAACACCACGGTGGTTATGAACACATCTGACTACCAAACCAAATTAACCAACCTACTCCAAGACTCCACATACAAATGGATAAATACAGATCCCACCACCTACCTGGAAAAAACCACCAGATCCAAAATAAAAGCCTCCCACATTAGTGAAGAGATCCAGCAAAGAATCATTCCCAGAGAGAAATCATCCAGATGCCCCAAACTCTATGGTCTCCCCAAGATACACAAAGAAGGAACCCCACTCAGACCTATAGTCAGCTCCATAGGCTCATCTCTACAAAACCTAGCCAAATTTCTCGCCAAACAACTACAGCCCTATGTAGAATCCATCACCTCACATGTAAAAAAAACTCATTCCAATTTATAGAGATCATAAA